GCGCTTCCTGGTGCAATGTCTTGCGGGGAGATGGCTTTGATTGATTTCTGCTTGTTTTTCTCTTTGCTTGCGTGTGTCTGTGTGTGTGTGTGTGTGTGTGTGTGTGTTTTCTGCTTATATTTATTGTCTCAGTTTTTTATGTTTGTTTGGGCTTTTTCCTTTTTTATTTTTGCGTCATCCCCACTATGGTGGGGTGTGATTGTCGACGATGTGTTTTATACGCCTTCTGCACTTGGAGAGGGAAGAGGGGTCTCGTGTGGTTGCATTGAAACTTATTGTGAAGATTGTTTTGGCAGTACACTATTTCCCTTCTTTGGTTCTCTCTCTTTTCTATTGACTGCAGTTGCCTCCGTCCCTTTTACTGTCGGTGTGCTTGCCGCACCTGGAAAGAATTAAGGAGGCCCAAACGAATAGTCCCAAAATTAGTAAACGGAGGTAGTGGCCATCTGCCTCATGTGTGTGCGGGAGGACAGGCGACATGTCGTACATTGAGCCGTCGCCAAAGAAGTTGTCGCGGGGTGAAGAACACCAGCTGAACGTGGGGACTCACTCGACGTTTAAACTTATTGTACGCACGACCATCTGTGCGACACTGTTCGCTATCCCATTTTGTGTCTCCATCCCTTCCTCCCCGCTGCTGAAACTCTCGCAGACGCAAGACACAAAGAAGTCGCTTATCCCTCGCATGATGAGCGACTTCTTCTATGTGAACTTTATTGCCAGTTGGTGCGCCTACTTTTTTCTCATCGAGCCACGTATTACGAATGAAAAGGCAAAGAAGGGCTTTATGCCCTATCTCGGTCCAGTCACGGCGCAGGTGCCGGGATTATCGTGTCTGCTTCTTTCTCACCTCTTTTACCCGGGTATGTGGGCAGTGTTTAACGAACGAAGATGGCGTGAGCGTCGGAGGGAGTTTATTCGTCTTAACACAAAGTGCTTTCTCGCTTATGCGCCTATTCACATACCGACTGCAGTTGCCATTGGAGCCGGCGTAGGCATCGTGTTGTATCCGTTCAAATTTTTCAAAAAGCGTTGACCGGACTCGAATGATATTCCCCATTTGCCTCAATAAAACGACTGAGTGATGAGTAAAGAAATGCATATATTTAACTGTGTAATCCCGTCTGCAAACAAAGAAAAAAAAATAAGAAATCAAAAGCGAAGCAAAGAAGAAACAACTCTTTTGGGAATAAAAAACTGTGGCAGGTTATAAACCTTATCTTTGCATGTGTATCTGGACTATTTTATTTTTTTTTCTTTGCTTCCATTGGAAGAAGAGAAGAAGGCGGGAGACCGAAAGAGTGGAGGGTATTTGAGGCGTAGACTGACAGCGATGGCGGAGAATGACGGTACCATCTGTCGATTTGAGGTCCAAGGCCGTATCTCCTCCATGGCGTACGGCGATGCCACCAATGCGTGCCTTGTAAGCACGATCATGAACGGAACTCATATTTTTAATATGGACAGCTCCTGCGGTGCGCCCACGCGGTATGTAGCGCAACTAGAGAGCTTTCCACATCAAATAATTGGTGGTGATCCCATTATTTCTTCCTGCTTTTTGTCCTCAGACTCGTCTCTGGCTGTTGGGTCATCCGTGGGGGGAATTGCGGTCGTTTCACGTTCGTCCCGATCGGTAGTGAGATGCTACAACTTTCAGGATGAGGCACCGGTGTTGTCCCTGAAGGAAGTGCCGCATGAGCCGTCCCTTTTGCTGAGTGCGTCACCAGTGGGCGTGCAGGCAATAGACGTGGAACGGTCTGTGGTGCGATTGAGCCTTGCCGTTCCGAAACCTCGTGTTGTTGGGGCCGTGGCGATTACCAGAAACTCCTTTGCAGCGGCCAATTATGATGGCAAAGTGATGCTATATGATGTGCGCTGCGGGATTGACCCCGTGACTGTGCTTTCAGTGCCAGACCAAATTACTAGCATCGCAGTATCACCGGATACTCGTGCCTTGGTTGCGGGGACTGTAGGGGGTCGTGTGTTTGTGATGCGTTGCCTGGTGAGCAAATTACGGGAGGAGGCGTTTGGCACAGGCAAGACACGTTCCCCTGTTCGCTGCGTCGCAATGCATCATGGCCGAATAGCTGCTGGCGATATTTCCGCCAAAATTACACTCCTTGACTCCGGGGACTGCCCAGCACCAACAATGTACTGGACGGCACATTCCCTCCTGCCGCACGTCGTGGCGACCTCGTCATGGGGTGTCTCCTCCGTTTTGCTTCGCAAGGATTCTCTGTGGGGAGCATTTACGTCGCCAGAAAGCGCCGCATCACATGTCGTGATGTTGCCTCCGTGAATTTCCACGAGAGGAGTGCAGCGCATCATGAAAGAATTTCTTTCGACGTTTTATTTTGCGGTTTTTTTGTTTGTTTGTTGCTGTTGTTGTTTGTGTCTGTGTCTTTGTATGGCTTAGATAGACACAATGCCACACTAAAAGAATTGTACACACACACACACACACACACAATTGCGCACACAACTACCGATTGGACCACCAGGTTTTGTGAATTCACGGATAGAAGCACAGAAAGAGAAGTATTGAATTTTTTTTTTTTTTTTTTGGTCATCACCCGCATCAACGATCCAGTTATTTTGAATTTTATGTTTGCTGTTTTGGGCATTGGATTCATTTGTTGGCAGCTGCATTAAGTTTTCTTTAGTAAATGCACCTCACCCCTACTCTCCCACCGCCCCACACACACTCTGTCTCTTAGCACCTCAGAAATATATATAGACGTTTGGAAAACTTGCAACTAAAAGCGGGAATGAGTTTTCTCAAAATAATCACGATGCCATAATGGCCTTGCCGCATCATTTCCTTTTGCCGGTCTTATTGCCCACCGCGTGAATGGCGTGCCCCGAAGAAGAGCACTGATTTTCTTCAATTCATCACTGCATAATTCTATAAACAAGAAGTCCTATGGTGGAAGAGCGAAACGAAGTATTTTCTTTTCCCCGGTTGGGAAGGCATATTGGGGACGTGTGCTGCAGCTGTACCACGAGGAGATACCACCTTACGTGGATGTTGTCAAGATGAAAAAGCATATTTTATTGCAGTCCCTGTAGCAGACATAAGACACGATGCAGGTGACTGATATCGCACCGCATACAAATCCGAAGAAGGCGGTGGGGAAGGAGGACCGTCTCGCCCAAACCCGACGGAGAAGGAACACCCTAGCGAAAATCCCGAGTGAAATTAACAGGATGCCAGTGGCAGCGCCAATATCCAGTATTCATTACGGAAAGGGGCCGTTTCATGACCTACTCTACAGACAAGCTCCCTTTTGCACCCGACCGACAGTCGGGTCAAAGGCTGTGTTTTGTGCGCTGCTCCCGAGCAGGCCGCTAATCAGGGCATTGGTTGGCGTTCCTCTCCATGTGTCCAATGCGCAACCTCTTGCACACTCATCCCCTTTTTTTATTTTTACTAACTTTGCCTGGCTTTGCCACTCTTTGCAGATACACCGCAATAAGTGAGAAGAAAAAGTGTAAGGAAAAAAGAGAGTAATTAAGGTAAGAAAACATGTTCGCTCGTCGTTTGTGCGGAGCAGGCAGCCTTGCGGCCGCGTCACTGGCTCGCTGGCAGTCGTCGAAGGTGACCGGCGACGTCATTGGCATTGACCTGGGCACGACGTACAGCTGCGTCGCTGTGATGGAGGGCGACAAGCCGCGCGTGCTGGAAAACACTGAGGGCTTCCGCACCACGCCATCCGTTGTTGCCTTCAAGGGCCAGGAGAAGCTCGTCGGCCTCGCAGCAAAGCGCCAGGCCATCACAAACCCGCAGTCCACCTTCTTTGCTGTGAAGCGACTGATTGGCCGCCGCTTCGAGGACTCGAACATCCAGCACGACATCAAGAACGTGCCGTACAAGATTGTGCGCAGCAGCAACGGCGACGCGTGGGTGCAGGATGCCAATGGCAAGCAGTACTCGCCGTCGCAAGTGGGTGCGTTCGTGCTGGAGAAGATGAAGGAGACGGCGGAGAACTTTCTTGGCCGCAAGGTGTCGAACGCGGTGGTGACGTGCCCGGCGTACTTCAACGACGCGCAGCGCCAGGCGACGAAGGACGCCGGGACGATCGCCGGGCTGAACGTGATCCGCGTGGTGAACGAGCCGACGGCTGCGGCACTCGCGTACGGACTGGACAAGACGAAGGACAGCATGATCGCCGTGTACGATCTGGGTGGCGGCACGTTTGATATCTCCGTGCTCGAGATCGCTGGCGGCGTTTTCGAGGTGAAGGCAACGAACGGCGACACGCACCTTGGCGGCGAGGACTTTGATCTGTGCCTCTCCGACTACATTCTGACGGAGTTCAAGAAGTCGACCGGGATCGACCTGAGCAACGAGCGAATGGCGCTGCAGCGCATCCGAGAGGCCGCGGAGAAGGCGAAGTGTGAGCTGTCGACGACGATGGAGACGGAGGTGAACCTCCCGTTCATCACGGCGAACCAGGACGGCGCCCAGCACGTGCAGATGACGGTGAGCCGCAGCAAGTTCGAGTCTCTGGCGGAAAAGCTTGTGCAGCGTTCCCTGGGCCCTTGCAAGCAGTGCATCAAGGACGCGGCGGTGGACCTGAAGGAGATCTCCGAGGTTGTGCTTGTTGGCGGCATGACGCGGATGCCGAAGGTGATCGAGGCGGTGAAGCAGTTCTTTGGGCGTGATCCGTTCCGTGGTGTGAACCCCGACGAGGCCGTTGCGCTCGGCGCGGCAACGCTCGGCGGTGTGCTCCGCGGCGACGTGAAGGGTCTCGTGCTCCTGGACGTGACGCCGCTGTCGCTTGGCATCGAGACGCTGGGCGGTGTCTTCACGCGCATGATCCCGAAGAACACGACGATCCCGACCAAGAAGAGCCAGACCTTCTCGACCGCGGCGGACAACCAGACGCAGGTGGGCATC